GTTTTGCTCCGAGTGGCTTATTGTGGAAAGTTTGGGGCAAGGAAAACTTGTGAAAGGCATTGGATCACTACGGAGGCCTGCCACCTTTATACTCAGGTTGATAAGGCTCGAGCATAATACGGCCTTCACAGGCTCATGCCACATTTGACATTTGTCTCCAACTGCTGGAGCCGTTTGGGGAGATTTTGTGGGATTTAAGATGTAGGACTCAGGAAATAGGTCAGTAGGGGTAGGTTCTTCGGGGTGTGGGGTTGTGTAGTGCTGTTCCCTAATTATCACGAGGTGAGAGTGAGTGCCACTAGCAGGCTCCTCCTGCTAAGTGTAAGGGAGCAGGTGACTGGACCAGGACCTCTGAAATGGTGAATGAGGATCAAGTTGTGTACACCAATTGGTCATTTTCTGGGAAAGTAGTTTTTAAGATGTCTGTTGAATACAGACTGGAAACGGACAGACCAAATGTCCAAGTCCTGCTTAATGAACAGATTCATTGGGGTTTCTTTTGTTGTCCCTGCCAGACAGCGTTTCTCTTTGTGTAGCCCTGGGTGTCCTGGAACTCACAGGGATCGCCTGCCTCTGCCGCCCAAGTGCTGGGATAAAAGGAGTGCAGCCACCATGCCCGTCTTCATAGGAATTTCTTACAGATACGTGAAAAGCCCTCCTCAAAAGATTTTTGTGCAGGTTGTGACGTAACCTATTTTTAGGGACGTCAACACTGTCCTTCCCCTCACAACTTTAACAGTGTTATATTTTGTGGGTTATCATGGTGTTTGCCTTCAAAATGGGTGCCTATCATTCTTCTTAGAGATAAATAGCCACAGCTTTGGAAGAGTTGTATAATGGCCTGGAGAGATGGTTCCATGGTTAAGAGCACTGGCTGCTCTTCCAGACAACTTGAGTGCAGTTCTAAGCACCCACATGGTACCTCACTACCGTCTGTAACTCCAGGTCCAAGGGAGTTGGACACAGACATAGGTGCAGTACACATAAAATAAAAATAGAAAGTGAACGCCTGTAACTGGCCCATGAGAGTACCTCACCAGGATGAAGTGAGATCTCAGTAAACACATTGTCAGGGAATACCTCCTACCCACTTGCCTACCCCCCATGGCAAGGTGGCCACTAGGAAACAAGGCTAGGAAGACAAAAAGAAAAAAATAGGATTTAGGCCGTCAGTATTCAACATCTCAAAAATTACTAGGCATGATAGGAAGGGTGTTTGGGATACAAAGAACAATAGACGTTTCAGGGCCATGAAGGTTAAGCTAAAGCAGGGAAGGTAATTACCGAATCTTCCTAGCACTCAGGCAGAGGCAAGGCAGATTACTGTGAGTTTGAGGCCAGCCTGATCTACAAAGCCAATCCAGGACAGCCAAGGCTATACAGAGAAACTCTGTCTCCAAAAACAAAAACAAGCCTGAGGTTGACAATTTAAATTGTCCTTGTTTTTTGTGCCGATCTCCATGTACCAGCTCATTGTACAATATCCACCTGCCCCTGTTTCCACCTCCTGAGTGCTGGGGAAAAAGTCAGGTGCCGCCACACCCAACCCTAAAGTGGATAATTTTATAAATGAATGGGGCATGAGTTGGAAACCAGCCTGGTCTCTGTAGTGAGTTCCAGGACAGCTGGGGCTACACAGAAAAACCCTGTCTCAGATAATTTGGTAGATGGATTTTGGAATTAGTGGTTAAGATACCTGTCCTAGTTAAGGTTTCTATTGTGAAGAAACACCATGACCACAGCAGCTCTTACAAAGAAAAACAGATAATTGGGGCTGCCTTACAGTTTAGAGGGTTAGCCCATTGTCATCATGCAGGCAGACTGGTAGCTGAGAGCTCTCCGTCTTTATCTGCAGGCATCAGGAAGAGAGAATGAGCTGAATTGGGCATGCATGGCTTGAAGGTGTCACCCCCTAGTGACCTTCAACAAGGCCCCTCCTCTTCACAGAGCCACTCCCTATAGGCCTAACAAACCACAGTGCCAAAACACATGAACACTGGAAATGCTAGAAGAGATGGACTTTGACAAACTGAATCAAAGCTCCTCTTGGCTTTGGAATTGATTAATGTGAAGGATTCAAGAGAATCAGTTGTAGGCAGGTGTGCCTTTAATCCCAGCACTCAGCAGGCAGAGGTGAGTAAATCTCTTGAATTCAAGTCCAGCCTGGTCTACAGAGTTCCAGGACAGCCAGGACTACACAGAGAATCCCTGTCTTGAAATGGGGGTTGGGGGAAATCAGTTGAAAAGATAAAGTAGAGGTGTATCACAGGATGGCAGTTTCTAGAGAAGTTGGTCCAGACTAGCAAGAGGACTGAATTTTTCAACTTTGGGAATTATAAAAATGACATTAAAACCAGTTATAGTATGTAGGGAAGATCATGAATTCAAAGCCAGCTGGGACAAGCAAGTCACTGCCTTTAAAAAAAAAAAATGGCTGTTGTATTTGAGACTTGGAAAGAAGTTAAGAATATGGGGGAAAGAAGAGAAGTTTGTAAAACACCAAGAAAGCAAGGGCCTTTTGAAATAGCATCTCAGAACACAGCTTGTAAGGATATCCTCAGCATCACATGGATTAAACCAAGAACTGTTAACATCTAGGAGTTCACAGGACGGCACTGACCTCCATGTGTGTGAGGTGGTGACTAGGCCAGTAAACAGACGTGATGTTTGATATAGGACCAACTTGCAGTATCTGTGGGCTTGCTTCCAGGGAGGACAAAGGGGTGTGTGGTGTTCATGCCCCACCCTGCTCCCTTTTTGTATAGCTCTGCTTGGCTTGGAACTTCATATACAGGCTAGGTTGGCCTCTACCTCCCTAGTGCTTCGATCACAGACCCAGTTTACGGGGCGCTTGATGGAACCTAGGGCTTTGTACGTTCTTGACAGGCTCTCTGCCAACAGAGCTACACCCGCAGCTCCATTGCGCAGAGTTTTAAAAAATGTTCCAAATTATGTGCATTCTTTGATGTCTGTTTACAGGTGCCCTGGGAGAGCAGAGCTGTCAGATCCCCTGGAGCTGGGGTTAGAGGAGACTGGATCACCTAAGCAACAGCGGTGCACTGCATTCCCCTCCACCCTCATTTCCAGAGATTCTCAGGCAAAAGCCTCAACACTATCTGCCCCACAGGCTAGGCTCACCACATGGTGAAGAGCAGAGGGACAAGAGGCCCAGTGACTCTATGTCTGCTTCTGGAGCACTGACATAAGGTTTATGGTTACAGGATTAAGTAGTCCTGGCCAAGGTTGGGCCAGCCCATAATACCTCCATCATTTTCTTGGCCCCAGTCTGTTCTGATAAGTCCTTTTGTTGTTTTTGTTTGGTTGGTTGGTTTTTGGTTTTTCAATACAGGGTTTCTCTGTAGCCTTGGCTGTCCTGGACTCGATTTGTAGACCAGTCTAGCCTTGAACTCACAGAGATCTGCCTGCCTCTCCCTCCCTGAGTGCTGAGATATAGGCACAAGACACAGGTGTGCACCACCACACGAGGCCCTTGATTAAGTCCTTACTGTGTCCTTCATCTGTCCATTGTTGAGAATGGAACATGGGGTCAGGGCTCATCTCCCTATCTGGGGGATGTCTGCCTATTGAGATTTTGCTCTTCCTGGGATTCAAGGTGGCTTAAAAGGTTAATGACAATCTCTGTGTCTCAGCCAAAGACAGGAAGGCAGAAGCTAAGCTTCCATGCTGCTATCATTACCTTGTGGTCCCCAGTGAGGAGTCACTACTTGACAAAAGCCTCTGAAGTAGTGTCTGGGTGTTTTGGGTTGCTGCTTTTGAAGCCAGGCCTGGTGGCTCAATCACTCCAAGGAAGATCATTCCAAGGTCAAGGGCATCTTGGGCTATCTGATAGGAAAGTTAGGAAAGGCACAGTGAATGGTGCTTTTTGTCACTGGACTGCTTCAGCTGAGAGGTCTGTGGTGGAGAAACCACCTCTCACTCTGACCTTGAACACGCCCTTTTCTGACCACACATTTCCATCCAGCTAAAGCAGAGTCCTGTGACCCAGCAACCACCAACAGCATCCCCTATCACTAACCACCCTCTAAAACAAGCAGCTCCTCATGCCTCCCCACCTAGAGTTCCTTCCGGCTTCCCCTGTTTTTTCTTTCTTTGCTCCTGCATTCCTGCCCCCCCCCCCCCCGGTTTATCACCTGTACCCCATACGCTTAGACAACTGGCAGCATCTTCTGACCTTGGGTTCCCAGGCCTTTCAGACATTATAGGCTCAAGGGTTTGGGCCCCCACCCCACCACCGCTGCCGCCCTGTAGAGCTTCTCCTGTAGCCTAAGCTGGTCCTCCTGCTTCCAGAGTGTGAGATTCCAGATAAGTACCATTGCCCTGGGGTTGTGCAATGCTACAGACTGAACCCAGGGCCTTCTGCTTGCTAGGCTGGTACTCTCTGTAGAGCCATGTCCCCAGCCCAGCCACAGGCTCTTTAAATTGACAGTCTCTGCCAGCATTCCCACATGGCCACCATCAGAACAAATGGTGACCTGTACGCCTCTGTACTCCCGACTGCACCTCAACACAAGCAGGCTGTTCCCCAGCCTCTGCCTCCTGAAACATCCTCTTCGGCAGTCCCCCAGAGATCTCAGACACACAGTTGACCATCCTGTCACTCTCGGAGATTTAGATAGAGACACAAATCCAAAGTGCAAATGACAACACAAGACCACTTGTGCTGTCATGACCTCTCAGCCTCTTGGGCTCTCTGGGTCACTGCTGAGGTGACCTAAGCCTTGTAGCTCTTATCTCCCAGGCCTCTCTAGAAAATGTAAAGCTCAAGTCAGTTTCTCTCTCTCTCTTTCTCTCTCTCTGTGTAGACAGGGTCTCACTGTGCCTTTGCCTCAGGAGTGCTGGGATTAAAGGCGTGGGCTACTGGGCTCTCTCTCTCTCTCTCTCTCTCTCTCTCTCTCTCTCTCTCTCTCGTCTGTGTGTTGTGGCAGGGTCTCATGGAGGTCGCAATGTAACCGAGGGTGACCTTGAACACTGTTCTGACCTGTAATCTGGGATTACAGGCTTACACCACCACCCATGATTCATGCAGGCAGAGCTCAGGTGTGCTAGGTGAGCACCCTACCAGATGAGTTACATCTTCAGCTTTAAGTTTTATTTTTCCGACTACTTGAGACAGGTTCTTGGTACTTATCCCGGGCTTCCAAGTCTCAGTAATTCTCTTTCCTAGGCCCCTGGAGTCTTGAGAAACCACGCCCCTCTGAAAAGGAGGGGAAAGTGCCGAAAGGGCACAGACCTGCTGTGCAGACACACAAAGCTGTAACACACAAAGATCGCAACCAGAACAGACCCATGACGGGCCGATGGTAGTGACGTGGGGTCACCCTGAGTCAGGCGTGCAGCAGACCAAGGTCTCTTAAGAGTTCCGGAGTGGGCGGGACGCTGCGCAGCACCGCCTCCCCGTCAGTGGTGAGGGCTGGGCCTCCGAATCGGTTGCTGGTCCTATGGGCGGGGCCTTACGCCGCACCTCCTCCTAGCCGGTACCTGGTGGGCGGGGCCTTGCGTTGCACCTCCTCCTCCCTGGCGCCTGGGCGGGTAGCTCGCCTTGGCCGCGATATGGCTGCGCTGGTGGAGCCGCTGGGGCTGGAGCGGGGTAAGCGCTCCGAGGGTCCAGTCCGTCTTCTAGGCTCTGTCGGGCTGCAACAGGCCTGGCGGATGTGGGGTCGGACGTAGCCAGGGTGGGCGGGGCTGGGTCTGGGGGCGTGGGAGGGTCCCGGGCAGAGCGCCCCACGAACATCCCACCCGGGGCTGGGGTCCGAGGGACCCGCGGGGCGCGTCTGTCGCTCCCAGCCTGACCTCGGTCGCCCTTCCGGCCACCCGTGCGTGCCCTCTCGGTCCGCGCCGCGTTGCAGACGTGTCCCGGGCTGTGGAGCTGCTGGAGCGGCTGCAGCGCAGCGGAGAGCTGCCCCCGCAGAAGCTGCAGGCCCTGCAGCGGGTCCTGCAGAGCCGCTTCTGCTCTGCCATCCGCGAGGTGAGCGCCCTGGAACTATGTGAGTTGTAGTTTCCTTGCGCTCCGCGGCTGGGGTGGGAGGCGGGGCGGCGACGGGCGAGCAGACGAGGACACCCGTGTCCAGGGCTGTGGAGCAGCAGCTCCCTGACCTCACTCCGTCCCCCACCTCCCAGGTGTATGAGCAGCTCTATGACACGCTGGACATAACTGGCAGCGCCGAGGTGCGGGCTCACGCCACCGCCAAGGTAGGCTCCGGTCCCAGCAGCAATGGGTGCCCTCCCAAGGCTGGCTGTTCCTGGTCCTCCTTTACATCTGCGCAACTCTGTTCCACCCTATGAAAATTTATTTATAATGCCCTTTAAATAACTGCACATTTTTAAAAACTTGAATGCACATGAGATTCTCTCTAGCAACAGGCTTAGAAAAACTGGCCTTACTTTCCTGTTGGGGAGATGACCCTAAAAACGATCTGGTTGGATGTCGTAAACCATCGTGCCTCACTCTTGTCGCGGCCTGCAGACTCAGTGCTGTCCCAACCTCATCGTCCTAACTCCCTCCCCCTAGGTGGGGCGCAGGTGCTAAATACTCGGGATACACCCGAGTGGAGACTTCTCCTTGGCTTGTGGAAGGAAGCGTGTTCCCTCAGGTCCCAGTCACTACAGGGTGGCCTCCTGTTGCGCTGTGACAGGGTTCCCCTGCCTGACGTTTGTGGCTGCCCTGGCCGGAGTGCCCTCCCTCACGTCAAGGCGCCTTCTCTCCTCCAGGCCACAGTGGCTGCGTTCACAGCCAGCGAGGGCCATGCACATCCCAGGGTGGTGGAACTACCGAAGACCGACGAGGGTTTGGGCTTCAACATTATGGGCGGCAAAGAGCAGAACTCACCCATCTATATCTCTCGAGTTATCCCCGGAGGTGTGGCTGATCGCCATGGTGGCCTCAAGCGGGGAGACCAGCTGCTGTCTGTGAATGGTGTGGTGAGTGGGGCTGAGTAGCATCTGTGTGGAAGTATTGGATGGTCTCATTCCTTCCGCAGGGGCAGCCTTTGCAGACACCCCTGTGTCCTCAAGACTTCAGCGAGCTAGGATACCTGTACAGTGTAGAAGATGGAAGCTTTTGCAGGAGGAACGTTTGGGTTGGATGGTGAAGGATGGTTAATTCTCCGGATTAAGAGGTGGACCAGTGGTTCTGGCTGACAGCAGACAGGGCCCCTGAGATGAGGACAAAGGCTGGCTCCTAGAGAAGTCTGGGCCACTAAGTATCCTGAAACCCCAGTGGTTAGAATCCAAGAAAGCACCACCGAGGACGTGGTTTGGCCAGAAAAGCTGGGCTTTTATCCTTGGGCTGTGAAGGCAGGAGAGCAATAGGCTTAGGGGGTGTAGACAGACTTCTTTGGGACTCTGGGAGGACAAGGACAGGTTCAATGGCTTGGTTCATTGACCGGGGACTCTAGGCTGTACTGGCATGGATGCTTTTAGGGTGTGGGTTTGTACCTAAAGCTGGTGATCCACCAGGGGGTAGGAGACCTTGGCAACTTGACCCTAGCGGCCATCTCACTATCCACTGGTCCCATGTCCTGGGTAGGGTGGTAAGGGCAGTGGTTTGGGCCAGCAGTCTGTGCGAGGCCTGCCCTGCAGAGTGTGGAAGGTGAACACCACGAAAAGGCGGTGGAACTCCTGAAGGCCGCCCAGGGCTCAGTGAAACTGGTGGTGCGCTACACACCTCGGGTGCTGGAGGAGATGGAAGCTCGCTTTGAGAAGATGCGCTCTGCGCGTAGGCGCCAGCAGCACCACAGCTACTCGTGAGCCTGCAGCCATCACCCTCCCCCTGCTGTCCCCAACCTCCCAAACCAGGCCAGTCATCCTAGGTGCCTTCAACCTTTATCCCTGGCTCTTCACTAGGGGCTTTCTGACCATGGTAGCCAAGGCCCTGGGACCCTCTGGCCCCCCACTTCCAGAATCCCCGTGCCTGCTTTTCTGAACTGTTGCTCCAGAACTCCACCCTTGAATATCTCATGCCCCACTGAGCCTCCCCTATGCCTAAAACTCCCCTCTTCGCATCCTCACAGGTCCTTGGAGTCTCGAGGCTGAAATCACAGAGCAGGACCCTCTTCCCCTGTACAGTACTATTTATTGTCACTGGCTCCTTATTTAAAGATCTTTAACCCTCACCGAGAGTCTGGTGTGTCTGTCGCGCAACCTGGAATAGTGTCTGTGGGGGAGGAGGAGGGTGAAGCAGAGGTTAAGAACGAGCTCTTTCCAGGATGGGTAGCAGGATGGACACCGCTCATGCAGCTCTGAAGACGAAGGCTGGCCGGCTCCGCAGAGACTAGTCCGGCCCAAGGCTCCGTCTGAGTGTCAGGGCGCAGCACTGACGACCACTTTCCCCGACCCTTAAAGGCCAGGGCCTGGCAGGGTCGTCTGACGGGGAGTCTTGGAGCGCAGCAGGAGCCTGATCGCTGCCTCTGTAGGCAGGGCGGAGCGAACCATCCGCTGGGGGAGCCCTGCGGGCCGTGCCACCGTCTGCGTGGGAGTCGGGGGTGCATGCAGTTCCCCGGGCGGGCGCAGGGGTGCGGAGTACCACGCACTCGCCAGCCAGCGGCCACTTGGCTCACCTTCTAACCGAGCGCGTTCTTCCGGGAGCCGCCCGTGCCTTTGAAAAAAATCCCACCTCAAATGCTGAGTTCTTATCCTGCCGCCCAACCCTCCGGCCCCGGGAGACGCGCGCCGCCGCGGGAACCCGGGGTCGCGACTCGCGCCCCACGCCGCGCGCTACTAGATTCAGGTGACATCATCCTCTGCCGGGCTCCGCCTTCCTCCCAGGCCGCGGCACGCTGCATGCCTATTGGTCGTCGCACCATGAGTCCCGCCCCCGGCCCTCCGCCCGCGCGGCCCCTCCCTCCCAATATGGGGGCGGGGCCTCGTCGCCGGCCGGCGCGGATGCCAATTCTCATTGGCCACTCCGCACCGTCCGTCAGTCTTCTGTTAAAGGGGCCACGGCTGCCCGGGATCCGTGGGGGGGAGGGGGAGGGAGGAGAAATTTTTTTGGGGGGGAGAAGGTGGGATTTGGGGGGGCGCTGGTGGGCACCCCTGGATCTGGCGACTGCGGCCTCGCGGGGGGAGACTGTACGATTCCAAGGGCAGGGGGCTATTTTAGGGAATAAGAAGGCTGTGAGACCGTGAGGGGGAGGGGGGTTCCCAGCGCCGGAGCCGGAGCGAGAGACGCTGAGCCCGCGCTAGCGGCGTAGACAGGGCTCCAGAGCTCCAGATCCGGGCCCCGGCCGCCGCCAGGGGCCCCGCCCGGTGCCCCTACCCCTCCCCGCGTCCCTCCTGCAGCCCAGCTTCTCCCGCAGTCGCCGCGAACCAGGTAGGTAAGAGCCTGGCCCATCTTGCCCGGCAGCGCCCACCCCGGGGACCCCTGGGCAAGCCTCGCCTACCCGCTTGCCCAAAATCCTGCATTCCCATCTTCATCATGAGAGAACCCAGAGTCCAGATTTCAGAAGCCAACCCAAGAGACCCAGGCGTGTCCCTTGCCGGAGCCCAGAGTCCCCAGCCGAACCCAAGAATCCCAGGCGGGCTGCCTCCTTGCGCCTCCTCCAGGGCCCAAAAGCCTGGCTCCCTCGGCTCAGCCCAGGGGACCCCTCAGTCTAGATCCCTCCTCTGGGCCCGGTCTTGAGAGCTCCAGACACTGGCCACCGCTGTGGGGATCCCCCAATTGCGTCCAAATCGTTCCCCCATTTGCGCCCCCCACCTTCTGGCTGGAATAGCCGGCGACGTTCCCTCGGTCCAGGCCGACTCGCCCTGGACACAGGCCCGCGCCGGAGCTGTCCATGGTTGGCTTTCTCGGTAGCCTCGCCTCCCCCATCTCCTGCCACGGCCGCCAGGGAGGGGGTGCAGGCGGCGTGGGGATCCCTCCCCGCGCCGCGCCTTTGACCTGGGGATCCCCGGCGCCCCCTCCCAGCTGAGCCGGAGGGTTCTCAGGCGCATGTTTAGGCACCCTAGTTTTCCGGGACTCTAGGGGCTTCACTCAGAGCTTTTGACTGTCCCTGCCTAGGCCACTTCAGAGACCTCGGCATGAAGCCTCCTGGCCCTGAAAATCTGTTAGTGCCCATACAGCTACCGTCCCTGACTAAGCGCCATCACCCTATTCGGCACCCGGGGGATCCAGTTTCTGAGCGTTTGCCCACCCCCTCCACTTAGCACCTAGTTTAACAGCCCCCACCCCCAGCAGACAAATATGCCCAGCCTCCTGGTACACCAGCACCTGCTTGCTGCCTTGGGGACTCAGGCGCCATGACTTCCTTTCAGAGATCTGGAATGCAGGTCTTTGGCTTCTGTCTTCCCTTCCCCTTGGAGATTGAGGTGTCTCACTCCCATCTTGGAACCCCCATCTGAACAAACACATCTCTGAGACCCAGAATCTCAACTGTGGCAACGGTCTTGTCCATCGGACCACCTACCCGGCCATACACTCCCGTCAAACATTCAGACTCCACCTGGGTTCAGAGTCCTGGCTCTGCGATCCACTCCCATCTCCAGGTCTTTGTGGCCTCATCATTCTGCCAACTTCACATCTTCCATGGCCTGAGCAAGCCTCTGTCCTATTACCTCAGGTGCTAGACTTCCAGTCTCTTCTCTAAAGCTGATATTTCTGGCATCCCATTGCCTCTAGAGACCCATATGGTGATGCCTGATGTCTCATACTCCGAACAGTTACCCCTTCCTCCAGGTGTGTTCTGTGGCCAGGGTTCACGAGATGATCTGGAACCTGCCAGCCATCTTCCTGCGATTCTAGTTAACATGAGACTTCTCGTGTTCCATTCAAGACTCTGAGTTGCAGAACATTTCCAGCTGATGCATCTGTTCCACCTTCACCAAGGCGAGATCCACATTCTATACCGCAAGCTAAATCCTAGGCATGTTTTCTTGCCTCCTCCCATTCCCAACATCAGTGTTTTGCCATGTAGGCCAGGCTGGATTAGAACTCACTCTGTCATGCACATTTTGTTTTTCCTTCTTCCTCCTCCTTTTCTTCTCTGGGATTTTAAAGTATCTGGATGACATCCCTATCACAGTTTCTGCCCTCAGCCCTTTCCTCAGAAGTCCTACATTTCTAATTGCCGGAGTTGGGGTTGTAGCTCCACGCATCTCACATGCACGAAGTCTAGGGGTCAATTCCGAGCACTAGGCCCCACCCCCATCTGAGACAGTAAGCTCTCCTTCGTTATTTTAGATGTGCTCTGACCATGTCTGCCATTGTTCTGGATTTTCTTCTTACCATGGATAGTCTAACTTGCAGAGTACACTAGCTTGCATGATCTTTTATGAAAACGATTTATTTATTTTATTTTATGTGCATTAGTATTTTGCCTGCATGTGTATATCTGTGAGGGTGCCAGATCCCCTGGAGCTGGAGTTTTCAGACAGTAGTGAACTGCCATGTGGGTGGTGGGAGTTGCACCCAGGTCCTCTGGAAGACTAGTTAGTGCTCTTAACTGCTGAGCCATCTCTCCAGCCCCCACAGCTTGCACAATCTTGTTCTGCTCATCTTTTCAAGCCTCAGGTTCTAGGTCCCTGTCCCTAGCGTCTTTCTTTTCCTTACCCTGGCCTTGGACTCGGAGTCAGCCTTGCTCCCTGGTGGATCATTGCCTTCCTTCTCCATCTGTTGCCTTGGCATTCTAACCCTGTTCTAGACTCTAGCCTCTTCTAGAGTCTTTAGCCTCAAAATGTTTTGTTTCCTGAACAAAACCCTCCAGCAGTTGGAGACTCTCCCTCCCTCCCTCCCTCCCTCTTTCTCCCCCCGTTATTTCATGCACATGTTTTCCTGTGTGTGCACACATGCCACAGTGGAGGTCGAAGAACAACTTGCAGGAGCAGGTTCTCCTCTTTACACAGCACATGGGGTCCAGAGAACCAAACTCAGGTGTTCAGTCTTGATAGCAAGTGCCTTTGCCCACTGAGCCATCTTCCTGGCCATGTGTGTGTTTGGAACAGGGTTTCATCAGGCTAGTTTTGAACTTGCGATCCTCCTGCTTCTCCTGGGATCAGCTGTGGGTTCGGCATATGTCTTGTGTCTGTCATTCATGATGAGCAAGCTCTGAGCTCTCTGTACTGCATTAGGAGTGCCCTCTGTGTCATTTTGCTCACCTCTGTGTTTTGGGTTCTGGGGTGACCCAGGCACCTCTTTCTGTTATCAAGTGGCTTTGGGCTGGTTTTATTTTCCAGACCTCAGCTGTAGCATAGGGCCATTTAGTTAGCAAAAAAAGCAGCTCTTGCCCTCAGTCACGTGCTCAGTGTGGAAGCTCTTGTCTTCTCTGTGCTCTGTAGCATCTTGGTGACATTGACTGCCCATCCTCTTTCTTGGTGATTCTGAAGGTCTGCAGTGGTCTAAGTCATCCTAGGCAGTATGTTCTGACCCAATTGTGGGTTTGAGCTTCCACGTCGGGGTCTTGCCTAAAGCTGGCCTTCTCTCTTATAAACTTTTTCCTGAACCTAATTTCTGGGAGCTGTAGTTCCAGACCTACCATTTAAAAACAATGGGGTTTAGGGGCCCAGCTGCGTCCTATCCTATATTCCAGCCCTTCTTGTTTCACAGGAACCCCAAGGACATAGTGGCTTTGGTCACAGTTCTCATTTGTGTGGAGTTGGGAAGTATCCAATCTCAAACCGGTTAGGCCACTGCCTGGATTGGGGAGAAGGAAAGGAGTGACAGGCTCTCCTGCTTTCGGCCAGGCCAGATGGACCTGTTGGACTTGAAGAGTTCCAGGGAGAGGCTCACAGAGCCTCCCTACATCTCCGCCCAGGGGAACCCAAGTCCGCCTTCTGGCCTTATAAATCCCGCCCCTTTCTCCTCCCACACTCTTGTTTAACACCTCATGAGGGTGTAGCCAGAGGAGCATCCCAGGACTACTAGATCCTGAGTAAGCCTGGAGAAGGGCCCAACGGTTTAGATTTATGGGTCTCGCAGGGTGATCTAGAACTGGCGTAAACAGGGGTCCGGAAAGAGGTTGTTGGAGGCTCAGACCCCTATATGTGGTAGGGGCTACGGCTGTGGGGGGACTAGATTCCTGTGACCTGAGCAGATGACTCATCTCTACTTCCTGCTCTGTGCTTTTGTTTTTGGTGAAAGGGTTTAATGTAACCCAGGCTGACCCGGAATTCCCTAAAATAGCTGAGGCTGATCCTTTGGTCTCCACTTCCCAAGTACTGGAATTACAGGCATGAACCCACCTTGCCTGGCTTAATAAATGAATATTTTCTTTTATTTGTATGGGATTCAGCCCAGAGCTTCATTTTGTGCCAAGCATATGCTACAAACTCCAGCCCTCCTGCTATGGGTTTTACTCTTATTCTTTCAAGTGGACTGTTGGTCTTTAGATCATAGAGATGGGCAAATCACAGCCTAGTGACCTAATTCAGTATCAGAAGCCCCATGACTTTTAAAGGTGTGGTTCTGGCTTGGGGCTCACCTATGGAGTGGGCTGAGAATTCAAAGCCGATCCGCAATAGGTGAAGGATAGTTTTAACCCACTCAGCCAGTGACTGGTCCCTCAGCCTTTTGCAGTTCCTGAGTGGCCAGGCTTTGGTTTGCTGCTAGTGCCTGGTGGAGCCAAAGGCTTTTACCTGAGGAGCCCCGCTGTTTATCTAAGAGCAATGACTTCCAGCTTATCTGTGCCACGATTACAAAGGACAGGCCCCAGTTTCCCGCTCCTGGAGGCCAGCACTTAGTCCTCCCCACACACACTTGACTGTCCCTTAGTTTCCCCGTGTCATGATCAGCTTGGCTAACCTCAGTTGCAACCCTGTGCAACGCCTGGATTGGGGCCCCAGGGAGTATCACACTGGCTGCGCCTCAGTTCTATGTCTGAGTCCTGACAAGGCTAGTTAGCTCCCCCTGCGTACCCGCAGGCCGGCACCGCCGCCATGATGTGCGAGGTGATGCCCACCATCAGCGAGGATGGCCGGCGGGGCTCGGCGCTGGGCCCGGACGAGGCGGGCGGCGAGCTGGAGCGCCTCATGGTCACGATGCTCACGGAGCGCGAGCGCCTGCTGGAGACGCTGAGAGAGGCGCAGGACGGGCTGGCGACGGCACAGCTACGACTGCGCGAGCTCGGCCACGAGAAGGACTCCCTGCAGCGGCAACTCAGTATCGCTCTGCCTCAGGTTGGGCGGGGCCAGAGGGGGCGGGGCCTAGGGGCGAAGGCGGGCCTAGATGGGCGGAAGAGAGTGCGGGACTGGCTGGCTGCTGGTGGGTGGGTGTTAGCTGCGAGACAGGCAGGTCTTATATAGAAAGGGCGGGACCTGAGAAGTAGGGCTTGCTGAGCATATGCCGGGCCTGAGTGGCAAGAGGGGTAGGGCTTGGTGGAGGGGCGGAGCTTGAGGAAGGCGGAGCCTGGAGAAGTCAGCTTGGGAAAGGCGGGAACTGTTTCTAAAGGGGCGGGGCCTGAGAGGTTGGAGACTCAGCCCGCTGAGGAGGGGGCTGGGCAGCCGGGAAGGTGACGCTTAGCAGAAGGCACGGCCTGGGAAGAAAGCCCGGCGTGGCATGTGCCTTTAACTCGGGAGGCAGAGGCAGGTGCATCTCTTAAGTTCGAGGCCAGCATGGTCTACAGAGCGAGTTCCAGGGCTACACAGAGAAACCCTAGGAGGGCGTGGCCTGTAGAAGGTATAGTTTGTAAAAGAGGGTGAGGAAAGGGTATGGAATTGGCTTACCATTGGCGGGCAGGCTTCAGAAGAGCTGGGTGTGGCTTAGATGGAAGGGCGGGGCCTGAGCAGCAAGAAGAGGTGTGGCCTATTAAGAACCCAGCGGTCCAGAGCAACAAAAGGGTCGAGAGTTTGCCTAAAGGGACAAGATTTGAGCTGCTAGACTAGCAGGATTTGACTGGCTGGAGGAGGCGGGGCCTCGCCAGGAGGGTCAGAGCCTTCAAATTCTCCAAGAGAGAAAAAGGAAAATAATTGAGTCAGCCATCTGATTCTACCCACGCCTGGACAGGAGTTTGCTGCTCTGACGAAGGAGCTCAACTTATGTCGGGAACAGCTTCTGGAGAGGGAGGAAGAGATCGCAGAGCTGAAGGCAGAGCGCAACAACACCAGGGTGAGGACCGTTGGGAGTGGGGCCTAAGCTGCATGGCACAGGACGGTGCCGGCTACACCCCTTTCCCCAGCATCCAGCTTTTCACCTTCTCTTCTCCCTGGCCCCCAGGCTCCTGTATCCGTCCTTCCCTTGCTTCCGTCCTTTTTTCTCTGCTTCTTTGCTCCATTCCTTCCTCAGCTCCACCTCTACTGTCCCTCTCTTTTTTCCTTATCTCTGCTTGGTCCCAGCTCTTCTTTCTTGTGTACTCCCAATGTGTCATCCCTTTCCTTGACCCCATTCCTCCCCCCCCCCCCCGCCGCCTCTTTTTCTTGACCCGGTGTCCTGTCCTTCCAGCTCCTTCTGGAACACCTGGAGTGCCTGGTGTCCAGGCACGAGCGTTCCTTGCGAATGACTGTGGTGAAACGCCAAGCCCAATCCCCTGGAGGGGTCTCCTCTGAGGTGGAGGTGCTGAAGGCTCTAAAGTCCCTCTTTGAGCACCACAAGGCCCTGGATGAGAAGGTAGGAAAATCAGAGAATGAAGGAGAGAGAGCCCGCGGTTGAGCTGAGCTGAGCTAAGTGGCAAAGAGCAAAGCTGGCTATGATTTGTCGGAGATATTTCACGTGGAAGAAAGTGTTACCATGATGTATTGGAACATGACTTGATAAAAAGAAATATGAACTATCTAGTCCCAGCACTCAGGAGGCAGAGGCTGGTAGATCTTTATGAGTTTGAGGCTTGTCTGGTCTACACAGAGGTCCAGGCCATACAAGACTATGTTGTTAGACCTTGTCTAAAAAATAAAAATACACACCCGTGCGCGGTGGCACACGCCTGTAAATCTCAGCACTCGGAGAGGCAGAGGAAGAAGAATCTCTGTGAGTTCGAAGCCAGCCTGATCTACAAAGCGAGTCCAGGACAGCCAAGGCTACACAGAGAAACCCTGTCTCGAAAAACCAATAAATAAAGGCATAGTAGTGGATAATGGGGGGGGGGGGGGGAGTCAGCTTAATGCCTGGCTGGAGCTTCACACTCATTCTGTTGGGTTAGGACCTTCCCCAGGGTGTTCTGGGTCAGGAGTGCGGGACCCAGACTGGGTCTCATTTCTGTAGCACAGGCAGACCTTGAGTTTGGTATCCTTCTGCCTCAGTCTCCGGAACAGCTGGGGTGACAGACCGACAGCACCCGGCCCTACAAGGTCTGATCTTACCTCACACCCTTCCCCAGGTCCGGGAAAGATTGCGGATGGCCCTTGAGAGGGTGGCAGTGCTGGAGGAGGAGCTGGAGCTGAGCAATCAGGAGGTAGGGGGTTGGGCCGAGAAGGGGCGGGCCCTGTCTTGGAGCGAAGGAAGAGAGCCAATGGGCTTAGACCACAGAAATCCACGGCGCCTAAGGAGGGCTCAGTGTGCTCTGTTGTTTTGACTCTTTTAGACTCTGAACCTTCGAGACCAGCTATCTAGAAGACGGTCAGGGCTGGAGGAGCCAGGCAAGGATGGGGATGGACAGGTGAGAGGCATAAGTCCCCCTGTGACCTCCACTCAACCATGATTGACTGTTTGCGCTCAGGATGTAGATTAGGGCCTCGAGTTCTTCACAATTGCTCTACCACTGAGCACATCCCAACAACCCCTTACTACGGAATTCTAGGTAGGGGCTCCACCACTGAGCCGTCCTTCCGGCCCTCCACGAGGAAATTCTGGGCAGGGGCTTTACCTCAGAGCCACACCCTCAGCCCACTTTTTGTGAGTCTGGATCTCACTCCATAGCTCAAGTTGACCTCCGACTCAAGAGCCTCCTGCCTCAGCCTCCCGGTCACTGGAAGCACAAGCCTACACCGCTGTGTCCAGGAACTCTCTGGCTTTGTAATGAGCACTTTAATAGTTTTTAGTAGTTTTTATTATGCACATTTAACTGTAATGCAGGAGGTGTTGCTATGTGCAGACGGGGGTCATAGGGCAGCTTGAGGAAGTTGTTCTCCCCTTTCGTAATGTGAGTCCTGGAGACTGAACTCAGTCATCCGGCTTGGTGGCTGAGCCATTTCATCATCCCCTGATGGTCACTTTAATGTTCGTCCTGACCCGATGGTATCTGATCCCCTAAGAACCTTACTGGTCACCTAGCTACCTTCTGTGACCCTCGGTGACAGACCTCTTTGGACGCTGGTTCCCCTTCACGGCTGACAAACCCAGCTCTGCGCTTGGGTTCTGTTCCTCCTGTTCTCTCTCCAGACCCTGGCCAACGGTCTGGGTCCTGTGGGAGACTCCAGCCGGCGCACCGCGGAGCTGGAGGAAGCCCTGGAGCGGCAGCGTGCGGAGGTGTGCCAGCTGCGGGAGCGCCTGGCAGTGCTGTGCCGCCAGATGAGCCAGCTGGAGGAGGAGCTGGGCACTGCTCACCGCGAGCTGGGTAAGGCCGAGGAAGCTAACTCCAAGCTGCAGCGCGACCTCAAGGAGGTGAGGCGGAGCCCCTGGAGAGCTGCTCTCTGTCCCCACCCCCACCCCAGCCTTCTCCCAACGCTTCAAGAGGTCAAGAATGGCAGGGTGTGGACTCAGTCCCCAAGTTCTGTGGACTCCCTCCTCAGGATGCACAGTGCCTGTCTGAGTGCTTGTGTGTGGCAGAGTGGCCCCTAGCACTTGGTTCCTGCATTACCATTGTGATAGGACCCAGGGTTTCACATACCCTTGGCCCGTGGTCTCTCCACCTCTGAGCCCGGCCCTAGCTTCTCACTGGCAGAGACTTTACTTCTGAGCCGCTCCCCTGGCCCCTCACTGGAGGATTCTAGGCAGCGGCTCTACCACTGAGCTATATCCCTTTAGCTGCTTTATTTTATTTTCAGACTGGGTAACTTGCCCTGTTTGTCTGTGGAATCACAGCCTCCTGCCTCAGCCTCCTGAGCACTAGGCCCTGCTGGTCTGGATGCTCGAAGAGAGTGAATAAGAAAATGAACTTTTTATTTCTCATTAGCCTGGCTGGTGGCTTCTCACAACAGCCCCAGGCAGGCTCATCTCTCCGTCCGAGTCTGGCATGTCTTTTCTGGGCTTCTAAGCATGGGCTGGTCTGGTGGCTCTTTGAGAAAAGGCATGAACCTTCCAGGAGACACCAGCAAGTACTCTGTGGTTCTAAGACAGTGGTATCAAAGTGCGGCTTGAGTGGAGACTGCCAGTGAGCTGTGAGGTGGAGGCGGGGTTTAGCTGGGGGTGTGGCTTAGATGAAAGCGAGGGCCTGAGCTTGTATGAGGGGCATGTCTTTGGTCTTTTGCTTGTTTATCAGGTAGGCCTTGGATTTGGCTGGCCTCCAACTCAAAGTCCTCTTGCTTCAGCCTCCTACTTGCTAGGGTTGCAGGAATGTGACACGACCATAAGCCAGAACTGCTTTAACAGTTATGACACAGAATGGGGCAAGGAGATTATTTTCCGTAAACCCTGGAGTGCCTTCTTTGTTTTTTTGTTTGTTTGTTTTGTTTTGTTTTGTTTTTGCCTCTGCTGCCACAAAGCTTTCTGGGAGTTGTAGTCCACACATTCCATTACACTGTCTGCAGGCCCTGGCTCAGCGGGAGGATATGGAAGAACGCATCACCACGCTTGAGAAGCGCTACCTGAGTGCCCAGCGTGAGGCCACGTCCCTACATGATGCCAACGACAAGCTGGAGAACGAATTGGCCAGCAAAGAGTCGCTGTACCGACAGGTGGGCGCCCACCCAGCAGGAGGCCATGGCAGGAGGCTGTGGCTGGGTAACTGAGCCCCTTGGCTCTTCTGCCTTCCCAGAGTGAAGAGAAGAGCCGTCAGCTGGCGGAGTGGTTGGATGACGCCAAGCAGAAGCTGCAGCAGACCCTGCAGAAGGCCGAGACCTTGCCTGAGATAGAGGCCCAGCTGGCGCAGCGCGTGGCCGCTCTCAACAAGGTGAGAGCCCGGCAAGGGGCGGGGCCAGAGGGGCAGGGGCGGGGATCTTGGTGGAGTCAAGCCATCCACGGGTCCTGTCCACTAGGCTGAGGAACGCCATGGGAACTTTGAGGAACGGCTCCGGCAGCTGGAGGCACAGCTGGAGGAGAAGAACCAGGAGCTGCAGCGGGTGAGGGGGCCAAGGGAGGGAGGTGGTGGCGGGGCTTATTGACGAAAGGCAAGGTTTGTGTGAGGGGCAGGACTGTGTGTGTGTGTGTGTGTGTGTGTGTGTGTGTGTGTGTGTGTGTGT